GTAGTCTCGACTAGAGCTTTAACAAATGTTTTTTTTTTATTTAATGGACATTCAATTGTTAAACTCCCTTCATGAAACTTATAGAGCAGATAAGTTAAATCGTAAAAATTGCCATGTATCAAGCCACACGGATCTATGTAAGAAATTATACATTTCTCAAGGCGATATCTTTTCAATGGCAAGCGAAAGGCAACGCCATTTGTCCCAGAGATCGCCACTGGAGCACACAGCCTGACGAGCTATGAGCAAAGCTCGTCGAATCCATCCAATTGTTTGAATATAATTGCAATTGCTGCTACTACGTCTGCCAGCTGTCAATACGTAAGCACGGAGGCTGCCTATCTGGGAGGGGCTTTGTCTTAGGCTCTGGCTGGACATTGGCATTGGATGCATCATGAACGCTGCCGCTTGACAAGTTTGGGCGCCTCTAATTTGTATTCGCAATGTGGCTTAAAATGAAATTATCGACCACAGACCACGGATTGCAGACGTGGATTCAATTACCAAATACACTCTGAAATAGTAATAGTAGCCCGTCCAGTGGTGCGCTGGCTGGAGCCACCCATTGCAGCCGTTGCACCCATTGCGCAAATTGGCGGTGTGAAGGAATCGCCAAGTGTGTGTGTGTGTGTGTGTGTGTTATCTATGCGCTAAGTTATGCAACAAATACATATGCATAAATTGCTGTTTCCATTTACATAAAGACAGTTCTCCAGCTGCATGTGTGTGTGCGTGTGTGTGTGTATACAATATGAGATTTGCTTTTGAAATGAACATCATTATCGAGATACTCAAGCACACACACACGCACACATACACGCACAGGCACACACTCAAAGGCGAGCTCTGATGTTGGTTAATTAACCAATCCTACATATTCACACATCCTACATATTCACTCACATACCTGTGTGCTTCCCTCGCTTTGTCTCGTAACATAATTGGCCTGTATACAATTGTAATTATAAACCACTAATAAGATTCGAACACGTAACGATTTTCAAACTGCCATCAAATGGGTGCTCCCCATTGCCCGGTGCTCTGCCGCATGCCCATTTCGTTTCGTCACATCAACAAGTTAATTTTGCATATTGTGGGCGTGTGGGGCGTGGCCCCACAGGAGTTCAGCCCGAGCGGGGGGAGGGGAGGAGCGTGTTTGTTGGCGCTACGTGCATTTTAATGCGATTAAAGTGGCGAAGAGCCACAGATTGGTCGCGCACCGGGTCAAAGTTCATTTCATAATTACAAACAAAACAGCAAAGTGTGTTCAATTGCAGCTGCCACAGAAGCTGTTGCACGACCAGGCCGAAGGAAACGAAGCGGGATGGGGCATGCGGCGGGCTCAAAAGTCAATGTGTGCTAGAACCGTTAACCCAGCCAATTGCTCCTTTGTCGGCTTGTCTATTAATTAGTTAAGTACGCTATATTAGTGTGTTTTTTGAATCAATAAGCTTCAGCACTACGAACGGATTCGCTTTGTAAGGCCAATGGTCAAAGAGAATGAGCCAATGAAGTATTCGGAAGGGTAGGGGTGGGCCATCGAGTTGTAAAACGTAATTGCAGAAATAAATTTTAATTTTGATTACTAGTGAAAGGCCTACTAATGTAAAAGCCTATATAACTTCAAACAGGCATAATACTTAAATTATTATTATTTGCTCCATATTTACATACAAATATATTTCTACATCCATGGACATATACATAAAAATGATACATGAACAGATGAGAATCGAATAGTAAGGCAATCAAATTAGTCCATGATTATATTCTGCTTATCTGCTTATACATTCAATATACTTATACCTATACACATTTCTATAAACATAACTATAAGTGCTCTATCACTGATGAGAATCGCATAGTAAGGCATTAGAATTACTAATCATTTATTTCGTCTCTCACCTCCCACATAATCGTCGAGCAACAACAACACTTGAGAGCAAAAGATAACTAAATATAGTTTAGCTAATGTTCCATAAACATATTTGTAGGAACTGCTCAACTCTTGTTGCCATCGTTTATTGCTTTAACTTGTTTCAGTTTTTGGCCTGGTTTTTCTTTTGGCAACAATTTTTGTTAATCTTTTGCGCAGCCCGGAGAGAAAGCTACTTCGAGTTACGCGTGCCCCGAGGACTGCGCTGCGCG